GAGAAAGCCTATGGAGCAGGTGCTGTCTTAACGTTAGTCACGCCTCCACAGGGACAAGACCCTGGAAGGCCTGTCGTGACCCATGCTCAGGTCAGAGTCTGACTTGAAACTTCTTTTCCCAGTCTATCAGCCCAAACTTTTTTCACAGGTCCTTTCCATGCAGGGTCACACATGGGAATATTTGACAAGCAATGCTTATAAGCACCCTTTCCTCCCAGAACCCAGTCTGTGACACCATGTTCTACTGGCTTTCTTTTGTCTTTCAGCTACTCCGTGGCCTTCTTTGCTGGTTCATGTTCCTCTACTTAGCCTAAATTTCAGCACTCCTCTAAGTTTGCCTTTGTCCCCTTTAAATATCACCTTGGATAATCTAATGCATACCCTCAGCTCTCAAATACAGTTAATTTTGAAAAAAAATGTTTAGTGTCATAGTATATTAAGTTAAAGTAGTTTTCAGTCCAATGACTAATTGATATCAGAAGCGGATACTGAAATAGAATGATGTATATGCATCTTTATATATGTTGAATTTGGTCTAAGATTGCCTTTCTTTTCTTTTCTCTTCTCTTTCTTTTTCCCCCCAAGACAGGGTTTCTCTCTGTATCCTTGGCTGTCCTGGAACTTGTTCTGCAGACCAGGTTGGCCTTGAAACCACAGAGATCTGCCTGTCTTTGCTTCTCGAGAACTGGGATTAAAGGTTTGCACCACCACTGCCCAGTCAGAGGTTGCATTTCTTTGGCCTTACGTTTCTATATAGCTAAATACAACCTCCATGTACAAACTAAACTGAAAGTCCAAATTAACAACCTACTTTTAAAACAAATAGCTGAGTCTTAGTCCAGTTCAACTTACTTACAGGTTTGCTAAGGCATCAAACCATTTTCAAATAAGACAAATGTTAATCTGCAGCCAATTAGCTGTTCCTGCACCTCAGTTCCAGTTCAGTCCTATGGACAGAAATCTGTGCTGTCCAAGTCTCCATTCTCAAACCCTGGCTCCCCAGGACGGTTCCCCTATGAGACAGTAGATATTCCAATATCCAGACTTTACAGGTGATATGGCAACTTAGGGAGGGACCTGTGGGGGCACTGGAACTTGAGAACCATCACTTCATCTTTCATGTAACAATTTATGAAAAGGTCTCTGGAATCCACAGAATATATTTCTAACTCTATGACTATATAAGCGTAAGTTTTACTTGGGAGGAGAGGTAACAGGACTTCATAATAATTTAGTGATCACTAGCATCTGATAAGAGGAATTCGAGATGGTTTATAATTTTGAAGATTTGGAAAGAAGACTAAGATGCAGGATGCAAAATAAGTGAATTGCCTAGAGACATAGGATACTTTATTAACAAAACTAAGAAAAAAGGAAAAATCTATAGTATGTGATATACATTATCCTATTTTTGTAATATCAGATATGCTATGAAATAGGGAAAAAGATGTAAGAGGATGGGCCGATACATCTGTTTTGTTTTGGATTTCTTGCCTTTATGAAAACTATAACCTAGAGTGTTTGTCACCCCTTAGGTAATTTTATTCAGGAGGATCTTAGTTACTTTCTATTGCCTTGACAAGATTCTATAACAAGGCAACTTAGAGAAGAAAGAGCTTATCAAGGGTTACAGTTCCTGAGGGTTAGTTCACTACCATCATGGCAGGGGGCATGAAGGCAGGCGGGGTCGTGCTGGAGCAGTAGCTGAGACCCCGCATCTTTATCGACAAGCAGAGGGAGAACTAACTGGCCCAGCCTAGTGACACTACTTCTCCAAACAGTCCTAGCTCCTAATCCTTCCTAAACAGTACTACCAGCTGGGCATCAACTGTTCAAACATATGAGCCTACGGGGCCTCTAATTCAAACCACCAAAGGAGTAAAGACATTTTATCTAAGTATTTACATCTAGTTTAGTTTCTCAAGCTTGAGTGTATTATTCATATTTGAAGGAGAATGGCAGTTCACCTTAGTATGGAATCAATAGTATGACCATGAGACCCCTTTCCATGAAAGAATATTAAACACAAATGGGGTTTTGTTGTTTTAGTTATTTTAGCTACACTTTTTTTCCCCCCGAGACAGGTTTCATCTGTGTAGTTTTGTGAAACTCAGTCTGTTGACCAGGCTGACCTCAAACTCAGAGACCCAGTTGCTTCTGTCTCTGAGTTCTGGGATTAGAGGTGTGTGCCACCACTGACCAGTTTTAGTCAACTTTTAAAATAAAGAGCAAAAGCTTTGTGATGATAGCATAAACAGCAGTTTTGTGACTCTGGGGGATTTTCTGACTTATATGGTTAGTTACATGTGAGAAAATGAGAGAAAAGTATAGATATATGTTAAGTTAGCAATTTAAAGTAGTGCTGTGTGCGGGAGAGAGAGTTGTGCGTGTATGTGTGTGTGTGTGTGTGTGTGTGTAGTGAACTAACTATATAATTCCAGGCTGAGGCAGAAGTCAGTTTGTTTTGTGTAAGACATCATGTGCCCTGTAGGACATGATGTAAAACATGATCCGAACCCCCAAAACTCATTTAGCTACGTGACATGGTAACAAAGAGCAGGTTTGGGGATCATAGGAAGATTCAAATGTTGGCTTATCCAATTAGTGTGGAACTTTGGGCAAAACAACTCTTCATCTGTAAAACATGAAATAGTATGTATTCGGTTCTTCCAATGTGACAATACGCAGTACTTGGCACTTGGCAAACCCTCTGTAAAGACTTGTCACTAGCATAGTCTTTAGAGTTAGATAACTTTGGTGATAGCCACCCTTTTCTTAAGAAAGAAACAGAGAAGTCTGATCCTAGTTGTTGCTTACAGTGGGTTGAAGTTTGAGCGCAGACTAAACAAATGGAAACCATGGGAAAGAGAAGGTAGGGCTAGAGTTGTCAAGAACAAAATAAAGACAAGAAAACAAATCAAGGGCTGGAGAGCAATTTTTAAATGCCCAGCAGATGTTCAACAGAGCAAGAGACCCCACTGCAGTGTTGTGACAATTAGATTCATGTGACTAAGTTATAACACACAACTCATCCTGCCACCCACAAACCCAGACACTTGTCCTGATCTAACAACACTTTTTCCTTAGGCCTTTAACATTTTAGATTTTCCCTCTGATTCTCTTCATTCCATACCTCTGGTTTCTGGGCTTATTAAAAATCTTCTCTTTAGCCATCTGAAGTCTTGTCTTTAGACCCGCCACCCTTCAAGGTCTCTAACCCAGCACAACCCCATTTAAAGACAATGCCCACTCTGTTCCACCCACTTCTGCCTTTTATTTTTTTCACTACCATTTAAATTGTAAACTTTCTCCACAAATTCTGTCCCAGCTCCCAAACACCAACGTATCCTTCCCCATTTCTCTACAATTCTAATACTCTACCTTATAACTATCTCTCTATCCCATCTTCCACACCTGCTTCTCTCTCAACTCAGCAAGTACCACACCCTTCTCCATTCTAATACTGACAACATTCCCCACTCAAATAGATGCTCAAACCACCCATTCATCTGCATTCAACCTAATTACCCAAGAATATGCCTTTCCATTTAACACCCTGGTTAGTACACCTTCCTCTATTTACAACCTTATTTCTTCCCATCTTACTCCTGTTAAGACACTCACACACCAAACTTCTCATCCCTTTGTACTAATTTATTTATTCAACTTCACTGAACAATTTTTATAAATTTAGGAGTATGTTAGACTCTAAGAAAACACACAGCTAAAAAGGTCAGGTTTCTACACCAGAATGTATGAGAAGACAAATCTCCCTGCATTGCAGACTCTGCACTCAGGGTTTTATAAACGGTCACTCGGTTGGATCTGTGAAACTAACTACCTGTGTACTGCTTCTTCTCCCAGACTATAAACTACAAGAGAGCAGAGAATCACCTGCTGTGCAAACAATAAACAGGCGCATTGCCTAAAAGAGCCAGGACAAACACTCCAAAGACACCGCCAATGTTTTAAAGATTTGTTTAACTACGTATTTTATGAATATGGATGTTTTGTCAGCATACATGCTTGCACATCAGAAGAGGGCGTCGAACCACATTACAGATGGTTGGGTGCTGCTATATGGGTGCTGGGAACCGAACTCAGGACCTCTGTAAGAGTAGTCAGTGCTCTAAATCTCTGAGCCACCTTTCTGGCTCCAAATATTGCCAAATTTAAACCTTTTAAGATGCTATATAAGAACAGAATCACAGTTGGTGGTGGCGGCACACACCTTTAATCTCAGCACTCAGGAGGCAGAGGTAGGTACATCTCTGTGAGTTCAAGGCCAGCCTGATCTACAAGAACTAGTTCCAGGACAGCCAGGGCTGTTTCACAGAGAAACCCTGTCTCAAAAAAGAAACAACAACAACAACAACAACAAAAATCACTTATCTCATTTACAAGCAATCAAGACCTTAGATTCTAGAATTACACGGTCTAAATAAAAATATTCAATTTTCATTTACTATATGACATTAAGATAAATTATTCCAATAAGGTTACTTGCTCAGTTTTAAAGGGTGAATGCAACTTTCACAGTTACATTAAATTCTAAATAACTTTACACTTAAGTAATACTTGGAACTGTATTTGAAACATGGCAAACACCCAGAAAAGATTGGCTATTACTTTTACACATGAAGAAACAGATCAAGTGTGCTGACTGGTTTTTGTCAACTTGACAATCTGTGAAGAAGGAATTTTCACTGACAAAATGCATACATAAAATATGCCTGTAGGTGCCAGGTGGTGGTGGCGCACACCTTTAATCCCAGCACTCCTGAGGCAGAGGCAGGTGAATTTCTGTTAATTCAAGCCTGGTCTACAGACTGAGTTCCAAGACAGCCAAAGATACATAGTGAAAACCTGTCTCCAAAAGCAAACAACAACAAAAACCCAAAACCTGGCTTGTAGACAAGTGTGTAGGGCATTCTATGATTAAAGGGAGAGGTTCAGTTCTGCCCCCAGGAAGTGGTCCTGGAAAGCAGACCGAGCAAGCCATGAGGGACAGACAGGTCAGTAGGCAGCAATCCTCCACTGCTTCTGCTTCAATTCCTTCCTTGAGGTTCTGCCTTGATTTTCCTCAGAGCACTGCGACCAGGGACTTGTAAGACAAACCCTTCCTCCCCAAGTTGCTTTGGTCACAGTGTCTTACCACAGCAATAGAAACCTTAACGGAGATGTCAAGGAAGTAGTTAAGAAACATGCCCAGGGGGCCACTGAGGTGGCTCAGGGGGTAAAGGCGTCTTTGGTGCTAATCGGATGACCTAAGCTCTGTATCTGGAACACACGGAAAAGGGTGAAAGGAGGAAAGTGATGACCTTCACATGTGCACCACGGTACGTCCCCCATCCACATAGAACTTAAAAATGGGAAACAAAGTTTTAAAAGGGGAACATGCCCCTAGCCACAGCGCTGAGGTTAGGGAGAGCACAGTGGTGGAATCAAGTGTGGCTTCCACACTCACGGGTCCCTGCTTCTCTCGTACGACAGACATTCCCTCCCCAGGCTGCCCGCAGGACTGTCAGCCCGTCTCCGTGTAGCGTTCGGGGGACAGTGGAGCGCCCCGACCCCCTTCCTCTCAGTGGGACCCCATCCTTTCGAGCGCCACAGCCGCGCTCCGTCCGCCG